GAGAGAGAGAGAGAGAGAGAGAAGCTAGACAGCAGCAAAGATCTGGGGCAAATATCAAGCTTCAGCTAGGCCTGGTGGCACGCATCTGTAATCCCAGCACTCAGGCAGCTGAGGCAGGAGGAGTACAGGGAGTTTAAGGGCAGGGTCAACTTTGTAGTGAGACTCTGCCTAAAAAAAAAAGCACAAACAAAACAAACAAACAAACAAAACCCCACAAGTTTGATTTTGGACTCATTAAATTTGAGATGCCATAAAATAAAAAAATTTGTCTCATTTGAGATTTTACCAACTCTCAGTAAGAACTGAAACGAAGGTTCAGACACGGTAGCACAGGCCTGCAGCACTCAGGAGGCCGAACCATAATGTGGGCCAGCTAGAATTGCAGGTAGAGAGACTCCGTCTTAAAAAAAAACAAGCAAACAAACAAATAAACAAAAAAGCCAGGAGTGATGGTGCGCTCCGGGCGGCTGGGGCCGGAGAGCTGCAAGTTGAAGCCCAGCCTGGGGTACTTTGTGATTTAGAGAGATTAAAAATTTTAATCAAAATTAAAAATAATAAAAGGGCTGGGGATGTAGTTCAGTACAAAGGTCCTGGGTTCAAGCCTCAGTATGGAAAAACCCAACCCCATCACAGCTGCACATTTAGCGTGCAGTCTGGGAACAGCACCCCGGCTGTGGGTGTGCCTGGGGGGGCCCCAGTCCCCACCCCCCTTTGCTCCACGCGAGCCTCTCTGCTGTTTCCTTCTCAGCCCACCCCACTGCCCCATGGCTGAATTCCTCCCCCGGCTGCCTCACGTCTGCCCCAGCTGGGACACACATGTCTCACTCACAGAGCCCGGCATCCAGCAAAGGCTCAGTGTGTTTGTTGAAGACTGAGATTTTGACTTAACAAGGCAGAGAGGATGGACACATGGGAAACGAGGGGGAGCCCAGTCTCTGGAAAATTCTGCACAAGTACAGAGCCTCCAGACAGCTTGGGAGCGGTCAGGGGATCACAGTGGGTTGAAACCAAGCAGGGAAAGAAATTGTTTTTGGCCGTCCCAGGGCTGGACCCAGGGCCTTCATGCTGAGCCACAGCCACGGCCTGTTTTTATTCTTTGAGACAAGATGTTGGTACGTCACCGAGTTGACCATGCTGAGGTCAAACCTGTGACCCACTTGCTTGAGCCTCCCACAGTGCTGGGGTTACAGGTGTGCGCCACCACACCCAGCTTACTCAGGGACATTTTCAAAGAAGGAACTGGGCTGGACTGAATGCGAAACCATGGATGAGCTCTGAAGGAAGTGGGGAAGAGGTGTCAGCGAGGGCCGTTTCCGGGAGCCTGTTCCGATGGATCCCACGTGCTCTGAGGCCACTACTGCCTGCTTCATGTCCTGTGCTCTCTGCTGGAATCCCTCCCAGCCCTCCCCAACGAGGCAGGCTCATCCGGCTGGAAATTAGGGCTTGTTGTGCCATCCTTTACCACTCCTCTCATTGTCGAGGCCATCACAGTTCTGTTGTCTCTTAAAGCCCTGCGCACTGATGCCTGTCATTATGCCCAGCTCCCGTTAAGTGCTCAGTAAATATTTGCTGGAGGAGTACTTAGCTTAGGGACTGCCGGTCACATTCCTGGGCTGGCTCCTGCCCTGATATTTAGTCTTCCCTCTAGAGCTGGAAGCATTTGAAAGCCGAGGGCTTACAAGCCCTATTGGCCAGCTCTCTGGACCCTGACACCCACAGGTTAGAGGAGGAGAGGCGTAGCTTGCCTCACAGCTTCTGAGGTTACAGTCCATGGTCAGCGGGCTCCAAGCGGAAACATCATGGCGGAGGGCGTGGCAGAGCTACTGTGTCCAGGAAACAGAGCAGGGAACAGCAGCACCACAGAGGGAGGTGCTGGGGATCAGAAGCAGACCCCAAATGCATGCTTCCGTAACCGCACAAGACACACCACAAGTGCGCTTTACCTGTCCCCCAAGTGGCTCCAAAGCCAGTCAATGAAGCTTACGTGTCAAAAGGGCTCACTTCAAGTGCTTGCAGCATTACTAAGAAGTGGCTCTGTAGGATGTTCATAGTGATTCTTCATTCCATGCGTCCTCTATTCCAGGACCTCGGCTGGCTCCAAGGAGCTTGGGGCTCAGCTTCTGCAAAATAATGATGAACAAGTTGAAGTGTTGGCTTATGGACTGGGTGGTCTATGAGCCCTGTGGAGGCAGAGCTGATTCTCCAAGCTTCTAGAGATGTCCTCAGAGTAGAGGTGACAAAGCTAAGTGGATGCTAAAGACAAGGGTCATCCTCTGGCCAGATGTAACTGAAGCCAGGAAGTGGGGACAGATGAAGTTCTAGACAGGTGGAACAGCAGGTGCAGAAGTGGTGGCAGTGGGGGGTTTGAGAAAGTGTGCTGGGGTTGGGACAATTGGAGAGCAGAACACTGGCCAGAGAGAAGACATGGCTGGGGTTGGGGCAGGCCAGCCAGAAAGCACCGCAGATGTCACCTGCAAGGGGCACTACGATTTAAACTAAAAAATACATTGCTGTTGACCTCAGTCACTTGTAGCTCCTTCCTTAACTTCTGAAACCTGTGCTGTTCCTATTCCTTTGAGACAAAAAAGTGTCTTTGAATTTTTTTTTTTTTTTCCAGAACTGGGGATTGAACTCAGGCCCTCATGCTTGCCAGGCAAATGCTTATTCTACTGAGCTATCTCCCTGGCTCCTGTCCTTGAACATTAATTAAAAAATTCTCCTGAATGGCAGTTCCAATTATCTTATGCTATATTCAGTGCATGTAATGAATTCTTTACCTTTAACATGGAGAGGTTTGTAAATTTTTTTTTTTGGTGGTACAAAGGATCAAACTCAGGACCTGTGTTTGCCAGGCAAGCACTATTCCACTGAGCTATCTCCCTGGCCCTGTAATTTTTATCGATAGAAAATCAGGTTATTTTCTTTTTAAAATTTTATTTATTTTGGCAGTACCAGGGATTGAATGAACTTCGGACCTTCAGCTTGCTAGGCATGTGCTTATGCTGCTGAGCTATATCCCTGGCTCTAAATTTATTTTTTATTGGTACAATTTAGACAGACATATTGATAAGATTCATCATAGAAAATTTGTACCTATATATGATACATCTTGTGTGGTGGTGACATTTGTTGTTGCTGAGACAAAATACGTGACACTGAAAGTTAAGAGTTTATTTAGTCTGCGGTTTGTAGAAGTTTCTGTTCATAATTGGCTGGCTCCAAGGCAGGGTGGCACTCGGCAGAGGGGCATCCCTTCACGGTGGTGGAAGGCAGCAAAAGCCACGAGAGACCAGTCTCTGTCTGTCCTCTATACTCTATGCAGGCTTCCCGCCCTAGGAGGAGAGTAGCACACACACCCTAAATTCCAGCCAGAACTGTGCCAAACCCAGCAGTGGACTCACTTGGAATCACACACCCTTAATCACAGCGTCCCACACTCCAGACTCAGCCACCCCTGAGAAAACCCGGTGACGACTGCATGAGGCTTTGACTGCATGAGGCTTTGACTGCATGAGGCTTTGACTGCATGAGGCTTTGACTGCATGAGGCTTTGGGGGCAGACCGACACAAGCAGTAACATTTTGCTTCTTTTTTCCCATTCCCCCTCCCCTCCCTTCATCCCTTCTTTCCCACCTTATTTACAAAAACTTTGTTTCCATTTTTTTCCCCTTCTATTCTCTTTTCCTCTCTTGTGCCTTTTTCCTCCCCTCTGCCCCTTCCTTGGACCAGATTCTTTTCAATCCTTACTGAACAGATTTTTATTTATTTTTTTCTTTTGTGTCAAGGTTTTAATTATTGTGTAGACCAGGCTGGCCCCGCGTTTACTATATAGCCCGGCTGAAGCAGGAGGATTGCCATGAGTTCGAGGCCAGCCTGGGCTACATAGTGAGTTTGAGATCACTCTGAACTATATAGTAAGACTCTGTCTCAATACCCATGCCAAAAACCCCCCTCCAAACACTCCTCCCCCAAACCTGGCAATCTCTCTGCTTCAGTCTCTCGAATGCCAGGATTATAGGTGTGCACCACCACACCTGGCTCTGAGGCTACTTTACATAAGGTACAGTCAGCGAAAGGTGTGCTCAGCACTCACTTGTCTGTTTGGTTTTGGGTCAAAGTGCTAAAGGTATTTGTTTTTTGTTTCGTTTTGTTATTCTCTATTTTAGGGTAAGGTCTACAGGGTGTTCAGGGTCTCACTACTAGATCAGACTCCTAGTGATCCGCCTGTTCACAGCCTCCCAAGAGCTGGGATTACAGGCACGCAACACCATGCCCAGTCTCAATTGCTGTCTCAGCCTGCCCTGGGGGTGGGTCGGCACAGGAAGCCTGGGTATCAAACCCCTGAGCCCTGGGCCTGCCTGCGGGCGCTTTAATCCGCTGAGCTATTTGGCAGGCCCAAAGCGCTCAAAGTAAAATGACTGTTCCTGTTTTAGGGGCACTGTTTCTTCTGAATGTTCTTAAATATCAGGGATTTCTATATTCTTTTTTTAAAAAAATTATGTATGTATGTATTTGTTTGGTACAGGGTCTTACTACGCAGCTCAGACTCGCAGTGATCTTCCTGTCTCAGCCTCCCCAGGGCTGGGATGCTAGGCCAGCACTACCACATCCAGTTTCAGGTGGTGGCTCGGTGCTCCTGGGGTCGGCACAGCCACGCGGTCCCGGGAGTTGAACCCGGGTCCTTGTGCTTGCCAGGGAGGCCTGGATTGTTGCACACTTTCTTTGCATGTTGAACAGGCCTCTAAGTTTGGCGTTCAGAAGCATAGTCTCTGATGACTGTGCCCGAAAGTCACGTCTGAACTTAAATTATTGCTCTCAGGACCCACTACCTTTGCATCATGTTCTTAACTTTCCGTGCTTCCCTTTCGTCGTGAGAAATAACAATGACACTCGTTCCTGCAGTGCAGGTCCGCTTTGGGGAAGAGGGAGGGTAAAGTACTTCGGAGCGCTTAAGAACGCGCAGTGAGCACGCATGCGCGCATCCCGGAGCCTCCCAGTTTTTCCTCCTAACGCAGCTCTCCCCAGTCTTCCACGAGGCCCAGAACAGATCCCCGACCTCCGCCACTTTGGCGACCTCAGCTTAGGGATAGAATTCCTGAAACCTTCCCGCCAGGGCTTTCTTCTCTGCGCAACTTTTAGTTTAGCTTCGCCCTCTTGTCCCTAGAGGTTGGGCCGAGGCGCCGACCAAACGCCAACGCGGTTGCTTAGCGACACGCTTTTCCCAGGAGCCCTCGGGTGTTGTTTTTCTTAGCCAATCAGAGACGCGGGGCGGCCTCTCCGGCGGCCAATGGATCGTCAGGGCAAAGCCCGCGGCGGTTGAAGGTGGCTGGGCCTGCGGCGGGGCGGTGCGACCTGGGGCGGCCGAGCGAGGGCGGCTCGGCTCTGCGGCGGCTCTGCGGCTGAGCGGTGCGGCGCGGCCCAGCCATGCCGTCCCGAGTGGAGGACTACGAGGTGCTGTACACCATCGGCACGGGCTCCTACGGCCGCTGCCAGAAGATCCGGAGGAAGGGCGACGGCAAGGTGAGCGCGGGCCCGTCCCCTGTCCCCGCCTCTGTCGCGGCGGCCCCCGCCGGATGGAGCACCCTGGGCCCGCGAGGGAACTCCAGGCCTGTGGTTTGGGTGCCCGAGGTCTCGGGCGCCTCCCCTGGGTCGGCGTCCGGTATATATTTGTTTCTGCCCCACTTCCTCCATCTTCTCGGCATGTTGCTTAGGTGACAGTTGGTGACAGCTAGCGGGTTCCGGAGCTATTGTTAGAAACGGCCGAGCAGCCCTGAGGCTGGGAAGGAGCGGGACCACCGGTGCCCGGAGCATGATTCGCGGCTTGACCGCGTGCGGTGCGGAAGGGACAGCGGAGGGGAAGCTGCTGCTGCTGGCCGGGCCCCGCCCCGGCTCTCGCCTCCGGGGCCGCACGCCCGCCGCCGGCCCCGGGATCTGACCGCCTCTCCCCGGCTTGGACTAAACTCCCGTTTGGCGTTTCCCATGCAGCAGCCGAGAGTAGGCGCCCAGGGCGATCCGCTGTACTGCACCGTGCTGCTCCTGGCTTAAAAATGAGAGCAAAAGTGTGGCACTAAACTCGGGGCCCTTTATGCTTGTTGATCTAAGTCATTGGATGGCGATCTCGAATGTTAGGGTATATTTCTTTTTTTTTTTTTAAATGTAATGGTGCTTATTTTTTTTAATTATTTATTTATTTTTATTTATTACATTTATTT